CATACAGAAGGAACTTTCAAATAGGTGAGAAAACCTGAGATGAAAAGTGAAAAAAAGAAAGAAAGAGCATTCAGTCTCATTCCTTTTGTCCCAAGCAGGGCTTTATTGGCCCATCCTCAAAACCAATCTCTGTCAAAATGAAGTAAAAAAAAAAAAGCCCTTATAAACATTGCTTTATGTCAAACATGGCTGCACCCATTGTTCCCACAACTGAAATTCAAGCAACCTGCAACAACAGACAGAGAGATGAGAGGGTGTCAGCAAAGAAACGTCACTCACCTTTGTCATCCCAATCTCACCCATGAATATTTGACATGAATAAAGATGAACAAAGTAACAGGAAATCTCAGCCTCTTCGCTTCTTTTTGAACAGTTTTGAGAGTGCAAACCATTGTCTTGCTGGATCAGAAAAAAGTCCTGCAATATCTGATGGGAGCAGCCAAATCCCTCTGGAAGCTCTTAACTTGGTGTTGACCAGTCACCTTTGTTTTTGCTCATACATGGGGACAATAGATAGGGCAATAAAGCAAGTATCATAGTCAGATATCTCCCTCTTAAGACCACAATTGCTAGAATGGTTTATGCTAGCTAGGAGCAGGGGAAATGTGGCCCTCAATTAAGTGTAAGGAAACCTGTTCTATTGACAGTGATTTTATTTTTGCTCTTAGTTCTGATAACCCCAGAAGTCTTCCATTAGCATGAAAAACAGCTTTGTGCATTATGTCTAGATGACCCTCTGAGTAAGCATACCCAACCACCACATGGTACTTATCTGCGGCCTGTATAAACTCTCCAGATTTTTTTACCATGTAATTGCATTTCAGTTTGATGTGATGTTTGCATATCAAATTGCCTTATTGAAAAGAAAGGTGTACTGATATGAAACATCAAAAGAAATATTAAAAGAAGTTTATATCAAAAAGGCTGGACTCTTCCTTTGTTGTCTGCTCATATATTTTTCTCATAATTTGAATTTGTTACAAATAAGAGTTTCTTCCTCTAATGTGTGGGTCTAGTAGTTGTTTTCAAACATACACTGTCCCTCAATATGGAACTTCTACTTAGTTACCATATGTGAAAATTGTTTGTTGACCTTGTTGGCCAGTTTACTCTTCTAAACTTTGACAACTTGGTATAGATTTCTTTTCAGCTTTCCCAGAGTTGTTGCCCTCAAAATGCATTAGACCACAATTCCCATAATTCCATGCTATCTGAAAATTGTAGAAGTAGTAATCCAGCCAATTTGGACATTTGTACTTCTTACTGTCTTAGAAGGTTACTGTGACAGCTGAACCTCTTATTTTACAGATGGAATTTACATGATCATGTTGGGCCTGTCTGCTCTTTATTCTGATGGTGGAGGGGCTGTAATAATATAAAAGACCCATACAGACAGATAGACAGAAGTGGAAAGCAACACAACTTAAAATTCATCCTATTTTTTTTTATAGAAAAGTGAAATAAGTAGAGACCTCGGGGTACTGTGAGTCCTAGTTCCACCTTAGGCACAAAAGCTGCTGGATGACCTTGGACTAATTACAGTCCCTCAGCCCAACCCATCTCATAATGTTGTTATTGTGGGAGAAATTGGAGGAGGTATGTCAACAGCCTTTGCAACCATTTTCCTTAGAGCTTGCTGTTGCCAAAGACTGTGAAGAACAGCCTTCCAAGCCTGATCAATGAGATTTTAAACTAAATCCTGCAAGAGAAGAAGATAAAAGTCCACAGTGAAATGGACTTTGTGAATTAAGGACAGAAATGTGCATTCTAATCTAATTTTTAACAGATAGGTAAAACTGTTCACATTTTCTATGCCATACCTGTAATAAAGGGGCATTTTCAGCATTACTGTTCAAAAGAGTGAATGAATCCCACATTCTGTCAAAGTTCTGAGAGAAAAGATTTCCAGGGGAAGTAGAGGGGAGTTTTCTGATCACTAAGCTTTGCAGAAAAGTAGAAATGAAAGTTTCTGAGGCAACATGGATCTCTTTACATAACAATAAATACCCTAGTGGTACCGCTGCCCTGCCCTACCCTCCCAGCATCATTGCGGCTCTGGAATCTTCCTTTGTTACCTGCTGTTCTCCTTGCTTTAAAGATTCAGTTTTAAAAATTAAATTGAACACTTGCAGGTTGCAAAACAACATGCTAGATTTTAGGATGCTGTTAGCATTTTTTGATGATAAACAAAGTAAGCAACTGCAACCCAATGTTGGTTTGACAATTCTCCTCCGTTTCCCATCCTAGCTCAAAATAATAATAAAAAATAAGGCAAAAATAAGTTGAACTAACCGAGTGCATCCTGATGCACTAAAAGAAGGTGGTGGAGAGAAACTCACTGTGCCTTCTGATACAAAGGTGTATTATATTTTGTGACCAGCCATAGCTAGCATGGCAGCCATTTCAAGGCTGCCATTTTATGATACTCTTTCCAACTTAACCAGCCTAAAAGATTATATCCAGTAGTGCAGGCAGGGAAGAGCAACTTTGTTGGATCTGAGGATGAAACTTTGAAAAGAAAACTGTTGAGGTATTCTCCATTAGGAGAATGAGTGCACTCAGGGAAATGTAGTGAGAGTGGTGAGGAATAACACACAACCAGCACAAAGATACACTGAATAGTAAAATGTAGGTTTTACATCCAGTAAAAGGGTAAACAAAGTCCAACAAACAGTCCAAATCATACACGGTTAAAGCAGTTAGTATCAGTCCAGGGATAATCCAAAAACGAAGTCAAGTATCATAAACAAAGTTCAGTAAATGGAGTTTGCTAACAGTTGCAAGACCCACAGCAATCCAAGTAGAACGACGATCAGGCAATACGGCAAAACAGGAAATGCAAGGAGAACAAACCAGGTTTCTGGTTCCATCTTATGGCTGTTGGAGGAACCTCAGCCAATCACAATTACAGCATTTTCTTAAAGATACAACATTAAATTACTATCCTGGTTTATATATTTCCAACCCAACTGTTAGGTGACCATCATTCCTAACAAAAACATTATTCGGTTCTGGCAAGGCATAGGAATCGTGCAGGGTACCAAAAGCTGAATAGGAATACTCACAAAACAGCCATATCATCCTCACTAAGAATAGGGAAGCAAATGAAGACACTCTGGGGAGAAAAGGGATCCACCCTGTCCTTATCTTATGTCAAAACAGGAGCACAGACTGCTTGCTTCTGAGGGAAAATAACTTTCACTCTTGATAATTGACTCTTTAATGAAATCCAGGAGCCTGCATTTTGAATAGACTGATATATATTCTAGGGCAAAAGAAGCCAGAAGGGACAAAAGTTGATCATTTGGGGGCTAAGCTGAGAATTTTGTTAAGCACCTGAAATTAATAATGTTCAAAATATTTGTATGTATGAAGCATCAGTCTCAGTGGTGTAGTTTCTGTAGGATTTTTTTGTGTTATTAAAATAAGTCTTGACACAGAGCATACAAGATGGTTACTACTGAACAAGATTACTACAAAATAGGATAAAATACCATCCTTCTGATTATTATTAAATGTATTAACATTTGGCACCATGAAAATTAAGAATACATGTACTGACTTTCCTTAATGATATTAAAGATTTTTTTTTATTTCTGAGGCATTTAATTTTGTATAAATAGAAATAAAAGATAGTCCATCATTGTCCTGTCAAGACCAGATTATATAGGTGATTGATTAAGCTTTTCTTGATTTCTATTTATGATTTAATTTTTTTAAAAAAAATCAGATTTTTAATTAGTAAAATCTCGCTAGCTATATAATGTCTTGAAGTGCTACTTGCTACTGTATGTCATCTAACTACTATTGATATTTAACAAATTGTAATATTTTTTTTACTGGAAGCTGTATTGAGGTTTGTATTTTAAATAAAAAATAGAAATGAATACTATCAATTTTCATACAAACAGTGAAATCAAATCTCACTAAATTGTGGATAGCTATCCTAGATTTTGTTTAGAGATGGGAAACATTTACACATTCATCCAATAATGCTAACACAGATATTGAAAAAAATTGCAGAAGCAGTTTCATTTCAGTTCTGCGTATAGGAACATTCATGCATCAGTCTCTGAAACAGGAAAAATTGCCAATTCCTTCCTTCCCCTCCCTCTCTACCTCCCTCCCTCCCTCATTCTCTCCTTGCAAGGGAGTTAGTCAATATAAACATATTTTGTCTATTTGTTTTCAACCTGTTGCCCTTGCTGGAATTAAAACAGTATAGAGAGAATGTCTGGTGTATGATAACAGTCAAAGCTTTACTCTGATTAGGCAGAAACACAAATCTAACATGAAATGGCATGGTTCAGGATGATTTTGAATTTATTTAAAACAGGACCTAGGGATCTCAATTCCAATTTAAAATATTCCCAGAACTCTAATATCTAACCTGATTACATAAAAAACAAAACTTTAAATATATAATGCAATTGTTTTAAAATGAAGATGATGATGGTGATGATTGATGAATGATGATAATGAATGTAGTGTAAGAAACATCTGAAATTTCTTTCATGATGAGCTCTATGTTAATTTTTTTTTAAGTCACTCTGATGTGCTCCTTGCAGATTATAATGTAATTCTGTAATACAAATTAGACTGGCTTTGAATGCCTTTGAAATGTGGCATATTAAATAATAGTATGTACCAGTTAAAAATTAGAGATTCCGAACAACCAGGATTTAAATGAAATTATCACACATGCTTTGATAGAGTCCTAGAATGATTCAAAAGAGCAAGTTTCATATGAAGTTGTCTCAGTTTCTTTGATAGCCACCTTGATCTTTCAGCTGTCATCTATTAATTATGTGACAGATAAGGTAAATATAAAGTGTTGGAATATGGAGATCACAGCTTTCTTTCTTCCTTGAAGACTGAAGGTATAAGCTTATATGAAGTCAGCAAGCAATGGGGGATGATAAAGGCATTCTTCCACTGTCAAGCAGTATTTATTTAATATGTCTTTTTAAAAAAAACTTTGAGCTCTGTAACTCAGAGTGGAACTGATAGAGTAAAACAGAAGGATGGTTTGTACAGAATCATGCAGTCAAGATTTTCCTGGACTGTATCATTTAAGATGGCAAATGAAAAGAAGCTCCACCCATATCAAATTCTTCCCACGTATAAAAATATAGCCCATTACAGAGAAATATATGTATGGGTTTTTTTTTTGTTCATGCCAATTTTGCATTATTATTATTTTTATCTTGCACTGGGGATCATTAATACCCATTCAAATGTGACAAAAACAGATAAGGAATCTGTTGCATCTTATCAGTTCTGCCTTAATTGTGCTATAGGCAGAGAGAGCTGAGATAGTTGAAGGTGGGTTGAATAATTATAGTTATCTTAAAGTGGCTTAGGGATGATAGAAAACAAGGGGAAAATTCTCAAAAGTGTCTACTCCTCCACCTCTGCTTCAAAGACTTCCATATTTTAACTCTGGGCTTGGAGAAGGCTGCAATAGATCCAGCATCATGTCACCTTAGGGAAAAGATTGAAACTAAAAATTTTGGGGTTCCCAGTGGGAAGCGGATACAATGAGGAAATTTCTTTCAGTAGTCCCTGGCTAGAAGTTGAAGTCCAAACATCTTAAAATTGACAATATTGAGAAACACTGGAGCAACACTCTGAGGCTGGAGCAGATAAGTCTTCCCACAGCAGTATAAAGTAGCAAATGAGACCTGTATAGATCCCAATCCAAAATCTTTGGCTTAATGAAGCACCTTTATTTCTGTATATAACAAAAATTATGTCAGAAGAGGCAATTTTATTTTAAGCTTCTTCTAGTGCCAGGGGGAGGTGAGATTACAAAAATGTCATAAGTATACATCATATAAAAACAGCCATTGAGGCATGCTCATGCTCATGCCACATTTAGGAAAATTTGAAGATGAGTCTCCACCATCTAACTTGCACCCGGTCACTTAAGGGTATTAAATACAAGTAGCCAATTATATAATTAGGTCAAAATGCTCCATATTTGTACTGTCAGACATTTTGGTGTATATGTGGAGTGAAGAAGGGGGGAATGTTCCATTACAGATTAATAACATTTGTGAAGGGTTATTGTGTTCATCAGGATTACATTTGATAATCTTAACTAATAGGAAAAGATACTCCTTCATAAAAGGGTGATAATTTAAAGGATGTAAAACACCTTGTTGAACCAAGGTTAGGAACATGCATTTATTGTTGCCAGTTTGTAAGAGAGGGAGGGAGGGAGGGAGGGAGGGGGGGGAGAATGATGAAGAGATATTTGTTTTTGAACAAAAATATTAACGTGTAGCTCATCTAGAATTATACTAAAAGTGCTCAGCATCTTTATTTTCTTTTTCTCTAAAATTGGTTGCAGTGCATAATCCATTTGTTCAAGAATAACTCTATTAAAATAATCAGCAATGTGTTACTAACTGCATATTGTATCCTTTATTTGTTTGGTCAACTCCATTCATGGTGCAGATATTTACCAGAAATTTTTTTCACAAATTGGAGGAAACCTTAAACAATTTGTAAATTAAAATCAAACCTGCTGGCTGCTTTGGTTTTGAACACTACTTCTAAAACAGATGGGAATGGTGCAAATAATAGGAAAATATGTGTTAATCTGATTTGGTGCAAATAGAAAAGGCTGAATTCAGCCAGTATTGTTTTAGCTGATACAATTGCTTAGTGCATGGAGAAGCAATTTATTGAAAATAAAGGAGTGGAAATAATAAATGAATCAATTTAAATATCAGCCTTTTGGAAATCTATAGAATATTTACTATTTTTTATTATGGGAAAGAACAGTATTGTCCTCTAGACATCTTTTTCCCCCAGTTAATTTCTGATCTGCTTTTTTGTGTATGCATGAGATCTACATACAGAACACAACAGCATAAAAATTAATTGTAAACTCCTTGTTTTAAAAAAAAATGCTGAATAACACCCAGGGAATTGGACATGAGTGGTACTAGTCCTTTATTATAAAGCAGAGGAAAACTATACTACTGTAGCAGTGGTGGGATTCAAAATTTTTTACTACCAGTTCTGTAGGAATGGCTTGGTGGGCATGGCAGGGGAAGGATACTGTAAAATCTCCAGTCAGAGGTGGTATTTGCTAGTTCTGCGAACTACTGAAAATTTCCGCTATCGGTTCTCCAGAACTGGTCAAGAACCTGCTGAATACCACCTCTGTGCTGTAGATCAATCTTTCTACCATCTAATGCTCAGAAATATAGTAAATAAATATAAAAACGAAAAGTTCACCTTTCCCTTTTCGCTTTCATTGAATCTGCTTCTTGTCAAAAGTCAATGAAGCAGGATAGTAGAGTATATGGACAAAACCAAGTTCTATCCTTCCCTAAAAGTGGCACTCCGTAGAAAAAAAACAAGGAGGCAGAAAAGATGCATTATTTGCTTGCAGAGAAACTTTACACTATGGTGTCCAAATGGAGGAAAATGTGGTTGGCCAGTCTCAGCCAGAACAGCCAGAGACTTAGAATGCTGCATTTTTGGGAGTGGATTCTAATGGACAAGAAATAGCCCTAAATGTGTCAAAAGTTCACGGCTTATGTCTCAAAATTATATGAGGAAGATGAATGGAAAAAGTTCTACAGCTAAGCTATTCTTTTGTTCTGTCTCTTCTGTCTGAGCCTTTATTGCTTTTCCTGGAGAACCTTGAGAAGAAAACCAAAGAAAGCACTAAATGCTCAGCCATGGTTCTGACGTCTATCAATCTTACAGAAAAATAATATTCACCCAAAATCATTGGCTACTCCAATATGATATCATGAAGCCTGCTATCCAAGGTGGCTATGGGGTCTTCAGGAGTGCAGTGGGTGGGAGGGGATGTTGTATTAAGCAGCAGCTAGGCCCCATCCCTTTTTTTACAGGCATCTCTGTCACACCCACATACAGAGGAGTATGCGCTGCCATCAGTGCTATCTAGCATGCTGTGACGTTCTCTGTGGATGCTGCTGAAAAGCAAGCCCTCTCAAATGGCAGCAGGAAAGCAAACTAATATTTTCTGTTCACCACCATCATGACAGAACAAAGCCTCTCCAGGATTCATGGAAATGGAAAAGTTTTATGAAATGAGGAATTGAACATTTTCCATAACCAAATGAAAAGTGAAATAATGAGCAGTGGCTCCATAGCCTTCATTGCCCGTGCTGCCATTTGTTTGCTGAATCTATCCTGAGATGCAAGCTTATGCAAGTACATTTTTAAACATAATAAAAGCCACATGTGATTTTGCCTTGCCACCTCTTATTTTCCTATGTGTAACCAAATGAACTGCTGGGGGCATAATCAGTTGTATCATTGGCATGATGTTCTGGTCACATGTTTGGTGGCATAATTGCAAATTAGTGTTTAAATGTGAAAAATACTGTTTCCAAAAGATATCTTTCAGAAAATGCAAGCAATAGCTTTGTGAAAATCAAAACGAAGCCTACTGAATTTCACACGCTTTGTGACGTTTTAAAGAAACATTTTTAAAAAAAATCATTCTCTCTTGAATACCAGTTTTCTATTCAGGGCCACTTCCATTCACCCGTTCTGCTTTTTCTTTCTCTGTGCTGTAAATTTCCCAGAATCCTTGGACCATGTTGCCCCAAAGTTACTTTTTGTCTCTTTACTTTGAAAAAGAAACAAGAGAAAGTGGAGGGAAATGCCCCTGAACTGACCTTGTGTTGAAAGTCAATATTGGCATTATTGCCTTGGTATGGAGGGGAAGCAGGCAGGGGGAAAGGCAGATTTGGGACCATATCTCCTGGATTAGAAGACTGAAGCTAAGATACAGTGCCTGAGCCCAGGGAGAGATTCAGAGCTTTGCTTGTATTGACACATGATTAGAGGACTTTGACTTCTAATGCATTTAGAAAGGTCAATCACTCTGTGATAACAGAGACTGGCACCTCAGACACCAGTTCCCTATTCCAGATTCCTAGGATTTGGCAAAGGACTACAGTGTATTAGACAACAGAGACTATCCAGCTGACAGCCTCAACCTCGCTCCAATCACAAAACCTCATAAAGGCCATTTACTTCTCTGTCCAGTAATCAAACTTTCCTGATTAAACTCATCATTTGCTTATGGTTCTCTTCATGAATCCTGCTTTCAGTTGCACAAAAGCCTTTCTCAGCTGACAGTTCTTCATGTTTCAGTCTGGAAACTGCTGCTGTTTCAAAAAAAATAATTCAAACCATTTTTTTTTCATACCTAAAAGGAGCTAAACTGTGTCCATATAGCATTTGTCTGGCATTGTCTGAGTGCTTCGTATAACAAATGAGAGAAATCCTTAAAACAACCTTGGAAGATTAATGTTATGATATCTTATTCTATCTGAGCATTCAAGAAAGAGATCAAATGACAGGCTAAAACAGCCCCAAACACAAATTAAGCTATCGCTTAATTCTTGTTCTCTCCACAAAGAAATCTGGCATTGACCTACAAAAGAAAGAAAGAAAAACTCACAGAAGCAATTATTTGAGTTTAGGGATACCAAAGCTTACTGATTTGAATACAATTAACCAAATACAACTGATTAGACATAAGAATTGTTGACATAAAGCTTCCATTTGCATTCTTACCATTTGGAATCTCACTTGGTCCCCAATTCTGCTGTCACTGGATGTGCCAGCTGACAGTCACCAATAATTACAGTAGCATGCTAAATGTTGCTAGTGTATAATTCATATACTGAAAGACCTTCCTCGGTTGCTTATAGTATCAAAATCTAAATGACTTTGATGGTTTTCATAATCCCAAATTTAGATCTTGCTTATTTAAGGCAACCGGAAACTCTCAGTCCCCTTAAACTACCATCTTCTGAATTTAGGTTGCGTTATTACTCTTCCTGGGATGGATGACTTAAAGATAAGAAGAAAAGCTGTGTGGGACATCAATAGAAAGGAATAGAGGAAGTGACTTTGCATGTGCTCTGCAATCCCTTGGGCTGCTTATGAGATGGGAGTTGGAGAATGGGAAGGAAAAGAACCCACAACTCAGACCTGAATGGATATCTTGGATATCTTCAACTCTTCTCCATTAGTATTTACCCACTGAATAAAATCTGGAAGAGAGAGTTCCCTCCAGATTCATACTCCTGCAGAATACTTCTACTAGGGCTCATAGGGAAGAGATTTTTTTCTACCGCTGCCTCTCTTCTGGAGCAGCATTGCTCCAAGGATCAAACCACCCCCATCCTTATTGGGTTTTTGAAAAATGGTGGAAGCTTGGCCTTTTCAGAGGACCTCTACTGTTCAACACTTCATTCTTTCTTGCTGTGGAAATGTCTATTTGCTGCTTTGCTGTAATTGATACTATATCGTTGTATTGTTTGACTCATTATTAGATTGGTTGGTATTAGCTGTTCTGAGCCTTGCTCTATTAAAATGCCTTAAATAATGGTTTTTATAAGATTGGTGAATGACAAAAGGAATAGAAATGTACCAGAAATGCGAGAATCTGGAAGTCTCTGCAGGATAACTTGGTAATGAGGCAATATTATTTCAATAAAAGAGTAATAGATCAAAGGATTAAAATATCTCAAAAGGTAGCAAAAACACTACAGCTTCTTATTATAAATTCTGTATACAATTCTGAGAAATTGTAGTTTGATAATTTTCTGGTTAGAAAATCAGAGAAAGACCTCTATTCCTTTTTCTTCCTGTTTATTCTCTCCTCACTGACCTCATAGGTTGGTTTCATGGAGAGCCATGGGAAGATTGCAGAACCGAAAAGCTTTTTCAAAATGAGCATTCAGGTTTTCTTTAGATTATATCAGACAACCCACTTAGAATTGCAGCACCTAGCTAGCCTTGGCTATTTCAAGAAGCAGGGGTAGGGCAGACTTCATTAGCAGATGGATGGAAAAGCAACAAAAAATGCCAAAGGTGTAAATTATACGTATATTTTCTGTAAATGGAAAAAAATTGAGAAAAATGCTTAAGTGTCCATGTAGGCAGGGGTGGGATTCTACCAGTTCTGTCCACCTCTGTAGAACCGGTTGCTCTGAAGAGCAGCAGACATAGAATCGGTTCTATGTCTGCTGCTGTTTTGGCCCACCCACCCGCCCGGGCTCTTACCTGTCCTTTATTTCCTGCTTTTTCAACCTCAGCTGCTTTGTGTGGCACAGCTGTGGTTGAAAAAGCAGTAAAAGGGGGCTTTTTCAACCACTGCGCACCTGCACGCAGCGCTGCTCAGCTGTCTGGGCAGCTCAGCAGGTTATAAATTACACTTGTGCGACTTGTGCATGTGCGTGCAACGCAGAGCAACAGAACTGGTAGTTATACCGGTCGGATCCCATCCCTGCATGTAGGGTTCACAAATCTAGATTCCCAAAATCTGGATAACTGCTAGCATTAGTAGAACCATGTTGGTGCAGTGATGATAATGCAGTGGTTAGAATGCAGTGCAGCAGGCTACTTCTGCTGACTGCTGGCTACCAGCAGTTCAGTAGTTTGATTCTCACCAGCTCAAGGTTGACTCAGCCTTCGGAGGTGGGTAAAATGAGGACCCAGATTGTTGTGGGCAATATGCTGACTCTGTAAACTGCTTAGAGAAGGCTGTAAGGCACTGTGAAGTGATATATAAGTGTTAAATGCTATGTTGGAGATCAGTTCTGATAGCCCTGCACCAGAAGTCTAGCTCAACTGAGAGCAGACAGTTCTTAGTTAATACTTTGCTTCAGACAAGATCCAGCTTTGATGCACTTCAAGCTGTGGAGCTTGTAAAAAGTGCTTGTACATCCCCAACATACTCAAATATTACACTTTCTTGTTAGGGATGTCCATCTTCTCATTCTCTTTGTTGGTAATGTCTATTAAAACATTTCATGGCAATTATTAAAAGCCTGTGACTGCTGAACAGGGAATGATTTTCTTAAACTCCCAACTGATCTCTGCATGTTTTCTATTGTATTTATAGGTTCATATTTTAATTGTTTTTGTTTTATCGGACATCCTTGTATTCCTTCAGTTCTGTAAACTACTACAAGAAGCTGTTTTCAGTAAGAATGATGTTTATTTTTTTACAATAAAATATATATCTTCTGTGGAATTCCCTCTGGCGTATAATTCACCTGAAAAATTTAGACATTCTTTTAAAAGGAAAAAAAAAACATAGGCTAATGGAGAGGTGAATGTTAGAATGAGAAGTTAGGCGTTTAATCTATAGCCTTTTGGATAATAGGTCAAAAAGGGTTTCTGCCTGAGGTTCTAGACTACAGAATGGCCACAAAGAGAAAAGAGACATAAAGATTCAACATTTTATTGAAATTTTATTGGTCCTATCATTGTGCACAGTAAGGCAGCTAGCTTCCAGTCAGTGGTGGGATTCAAAAAATTTTACTACCAATTCTGTGTCTGTGGCTTGGTGGGCGTGGCGTGGCTTGGTGGGCATGGCGTGGCTTGGTGGGCATGGCTTGGTGGGCATGGCAGGGAAAGGATACTGTAAAATCTCCATTCCTTCTCCACCCCACTAACCTGCTTTCCAGCTCCGATCTTCTGTGCAGGGCAACAAAAGAAGACCCAGCCAATCAGCTGGGACTCGGGAGGCAGAGAATAGATGTGGGTGGGGCAAGTCAGAGGTGGTATTTGCTGGTTCTCTGAACTACTCAACATTTCTACTACCGGTTCTCCAGAACTGGACAGAACCTGCTGAATACCACCTGATAAAAGCATGGTGGTGGTGGTCATGGTTATTCTTTGTATCACAAAAAGACACACAACATTTTCCAATGCTAATTTATCTAAATTTCTGCACATTTAGAAACAATTACTGCAACTTAAATAGAAATGCATCTCACCATAACGGGAGGACGGTGATTAACTAATCTGACAACTTGCTGAGTTTGTTAAAAATGATGCAGAACTTTAGAGCTTCTGTTCCTCTTTCAGATAGTTGTTAGTATTTAAAATGCCTTCTGCAGAGGTCTCCCCTCTGTAAAGTAAGATCGGAGATTCACCATTGGTAGATTCTGTGGGTCAGATGATGGCAGGTTTCCTCAAGATCTTTAACTTCAGTACTCTATCTGTTGTTCACAGATAAAGTGGAGGATAGTGTCCTGATGGCAGTATTGAAATAAGATTCAAATGCCAATCCATCTGGACTTTGTTAAATGAGAATGCCAAGGAGGAAGCACAAAGGCTGTATTTTGTCTTTGCCTCAAGCACAAAATGTTTTGAGCTGTGCTTGAGTACTGAGCTCTAGAAAGAAACATAAGACACTTAGTAATATGAAAAGCCCAGCATGTTTTGGCAAAATCTTTGGTGGTTAACTACTACTTCAGTAGTTAAAAGGCTGTGAGTTTTTTGAAACGAAGCTCTAGTTTTTACACAGTGAATGGCTTTGTTCCTAGTAGCCAATGGCTACAAAGCTTTCCTAAGATCTTAAAGACATTCAGGGCTCTATCTCAGGGCTTTGTTAAAGTGCATCTTCCACTCATTGCCTTGGAAAACAAGAATGTGAGTGTACAACCCTGACAGCCATATCCTAATATGTCTCAGAAACAAGGCAGAAAACTGGTGCTGTCTTTGGATTTAATACAAAACAAGTTAAGGAAACTTATTGATGGCTTTCTTTTGCTTCATTTCCCTTCTTACTAATAATTACCTGTTACTTAGCTAAACCTGGAGTAGTCGTGGCTTTTAATAGATATCAAATTTCACTTTGGTTTTGTGTAGATACATTCAAAGGGATGCCAACTTTCAGGGCAAACTGAAGACGGTTCCACTAAAACCAGTAGAAAGAGGGGCCGATGAGTATATAATCCTTATAATTTCTCCCTGGACAAGGACAGGACTTGATATTGCTCACAAGTGCTTTGTACCGTTGTTCCTCGTGATGAGACTGCAAGACAGTTGTCTCTGGCAGGTTTAGAGCTCTGGGAGAAAAGGAACGAGCCATCTTCACTCAAATTGCAGTCAGCGCCTTTTCATTGGGTTCAGATACTTCCTTTTCTAATCGCTTTTGGAAATTGTTGGCTAAATAGATTAGGAAATAGCAAAAGATGAGTTTCTTTCAATCCTTAGCAAAAGAAATCTCAATTCCAAGTTTAAGGACTTTTTTAAAAAGAATATTTTGGAATAAACAAACAACAGGTTGATTAAAAGTTTGATTTTTGGAAGTTACAAAGGGACTAAGGGTACAGATTTGGGAATTAATTATGATCCTTCCTGGGGGAAAGTGCTTTTGTTTTAAATATTTTAAAAACTGATAGAATGGAATTATGAAGATTTTTTTTTTTAAAGACTGATAAACTTGTGTTAATGTATAAATTGCAGAAGACATTATTGGTACTATATAAAAAGATGTATCTGCAGCAGCCTAAAGTAGCCAAATCAAGCTAAATAGATTCCAATTCCAAGTGTGTCATCAGTTAAATTATCAATAAAGTATCATAGAACATTTGTGTGGTAAGATTCGTGTCAGGCAAAGAGGCAAACCATGACTTTACTAGAACAGTTAGGGAAGAAGAAAATTACTTTCTTATGGTTAAGGATCAATTTAAGACAAATGTAGATTGCCTCTGTGTCAAAATAGGATTAAGGTGACAGCCACATCATAAAGATATACCTTTTTGTATTGAGGTTAATAGATGAGATTGAGCCCTTAGAACAGGGGTTTCAAACTTGCTTCATCCCGGCAGCATCATGTGACGTATTGGGATTTTTTCCCCTTCGCTAAACCGGGAATGGGTGTGGCTAGCACGTGATGTATCTGGCCCATGGGCTGGCAGTTTGACAGCCCTGCCTTAGAAGAATTTCATCACCACAAGTTGCAAGAAAAGACAGCCATTCTTCATTTGGCTTCACTTAGACCAGCCAGGATATTTTTGTATTGACTGACCGGCTTCGTCCTCAAGATAACTTTCATTTCACGTCCCTGTTGCATTTAGGCTTAAATCATATAGATGTATCTTTTCTTTTTTTCTTTTTAGGAGGCAGTCCCATTGAGAACAACGTGGCATACTTTAAGAAGATATATGTAGGATTTTGCTCACCATGTATTGTCCATATCTGATAGAGGTTTCCAAAACTACTCTGGGCTGAGATTTGGAGAGCAATAAGGAACATGTTCTGCACTATTGATTACGCAGTGATAGGTGGACAGAAACACACCTGTTATGTCTCCAGATAATCAGGAGCTCTTATGCTACCTGGCAGTCATAGCCATTAAATGGTTATTTAACCTGGCTTAGCTGCAAAATATGATATTTTGTGTTCAAACTCTGAAGTTCTTGTGCTGGCTGTATCCAAGATGAGTAGTAGATCCCCTTTCTCTTTCTTAAAAAAACAAAAACCTGGAACTCACTTGCTACTGGGCTTAGAAATATGACTGGGAATGTTGAATTCTATTCTCCAGAAAGAGCCTGTATGTGCCTGGAAGTCATCTTCTTATAGGAACTTAATGAGCATTCTGAAAAGATAATAGGAAAGGCATGACAGAAGAGGCACATTTCTGTCTTTCAAACTGTTCCAGGCTTGTGTTTTTTTTTAAATTCCAGAGGGGCTAGCTAGCCATGTCTGTGATACTGCAAGAGCAATGAAAAATCATGTGGCTTTTAAAGACATACAGATTTGCAAAACTATCATGGTATAGAGGTCTCTTCAGCAGATGCATGAAATATTATGCTCAGTTGGTAGATTAGGATGCAACAGAAATATATTATATAGCTTTTAAGATACAGCAGAACTCTCTGCATTTCTCCTGTGCTTCAATTTATTTGCAAAATATACATACACAAACACACGTATTACTACATACGTGTTTCCACACATACATACACACACAATTGAAGGCATTTATCCTATGTTAATTCTTCTTGTCTACCTTTGATATTAAACCATGTGTGTTTTCTTAAAAAATAATATAGTCAAATGAACATTTTTCTTTCCCTCTACGTATGCTTTTTTCTTTTCTTTTTGGCTATTGTACCCATGAGTGTGTCTATAATTCTGTTTAGAGGTTCCTTCACATTTTCTACTAAGACATGGGTTATTTTGATCATTTTGTTGAGATACTCAAAATGGCAAGGAGGAAAGAGGCCAAAGAACTAGAATGCTGATACATAGCATTAATATCTAAAGATGAACAGAATCTGACTTTAACAAGAAGGCATAGTACAATATCATTATTGATTAATTACTACAAGTTGTTCACAAAAATTCTGACTGTTAGATTCAAAATAATTTTACAAACAAAATATTCATGAGGATCAATGTTGGTTTTTACCTAAAAGACAGATAAAGTACAATGTTAGAAATGTTTGGGACGTTTATAATTTTTGGAACAAAATAATGAACAAACAAGTTGCATTGACCTTTTCAGATGCAGAGAAGACTGTTGACAATTTGAACTCAGCTTTCTTGTTCAAGATTTTGGAAGATAAGCATTTTAGAGAAAACCATCTAGAATGGGTAAAATTGATTTACACTTCACAGAAAGCACAGATTTAGCAAAAACCTGTGAGATACAAAGAGGGATGCCCATAATCTCCACTACTCTTCATTTTGGTTCTTGACACAATGAACAAAAATATAAGACAAGATGAGAAGATTGTGGAGTAAAGATTTTTTTTTAAACCATGTAAGGTAAAGGCTTTTGCAAATTATTTGGTATTGGTTCTGAAAGATCCTTTAAAGGGAATTGAAATATTCATGGACAAATTAAAATAATTTGGTGCATTAGCAGATTTCAAGACTAATAAAAAGAGTTTAAGATGGAGAAGAAAGTAAAATACCTGGGTATCACTATGACAAATATGAACTCTATGTTATTTCAAAATAGCTATGTTAAGACATGGAATGAAGTTTTTAAAAAGAAACGTTAAGATGGGAGAAACTACAACTGTCATTGCTGGGGAGAATTTCTGTGATAAAAATGAATGTCTTGCCTAGAATGATGTTTTTGTTTCAGGCAATACCTGTTTTGACAACTGATATACCATTTAAACAGTGACAGAAGGATATATCTAAATTTGTGTGTCAGGGGAAAAACATGAGTTAAGTATAAGGCATTAAAAGATGAAGAGGAAAAAGGAGGACTGGGTTCACCTGATTTGAAATTGTATTTTGCAGCTTGTTGTTTGATTTGGATGAAAGAGCGGGTGCTGCTGACAAACAGAAGCCTTTTGGAGTTAGATGGGCATGACCTGAGTTTTGGGTGGCATGGATATTTCTGGTAGGATAATGTCAAGGTTATTATGGATTTTGTTTGACATGCCATATTGAAAATATAGAATAGATACAAACCCAGATTGTTCTTGAAAACATCCTTGTGTATGAATCTCAACACAAGAATCATTTTAAAAACAAGGAATAATAGGCAAACACAAATGTATAACTTATTTTGAGATACTAGAATTTTGTCAAGGGGAATGTAAAATCAGATCAAGCGAAGTACTGGTGGCAGAAGGATATAGTTGTCAATGGTTACTAAAGATTAGACAAAACAATTTATGATTTTGTACATTATAAGACTGTGAAATTTCTTTCTTTTATTTATTTACATATTCAGAAAGGTTTTATGGATACCCAACTCACAGTGACTCCGGGCAGTTTACAGAAATAGACTTGTATACAAATGATGAACATGTAATTGTTTAAATGTATAAATGTTTTTTGAAACTTGAAACAGAAGAATAAGTAAAAGAATATATGATAAAGTGGACTAATTTTTTTTGGTTATGATATAAAGGTAGTCCTCAACTTACAATTGGTCACTTCATGGCCAAAGTTATAGCAGAACCCCCAGAAACTACTTACAACTTGGTCCCAAAGTTACAACCATCCTTACAACCAACTGCAGGGATGCTGCAGGACAACCACCCACCCACCCATCTCCCCCTCCCCTCAACCAGATCAGATCCCTGGAAGCATTTCCATTCCCCAATGGATCCCCATTTGGCCTTAGACCTGATTCCCACCCCAACAGTGCTCCTCATTTATCTTTTAAAGACCTCTGAAGCCTTCCATAGCTTTGTTGCTTGTCATCATGGCACAATTCCAGAAATGGCAGAAAATGGCATCCACTTCTGGATCACCACCATGAGGCCTTAACACAATTTGCAAAGCACTGCAGAAGGTTTCTACAGCTTTCAGAATTTTGCTGCAGCTCTGTGCAATCTTGTTAAGGCAGCAAAATGAAACAATTACACACGGTGTAATTCAGGAAGAGGCAGAGATACCAGAATGCAATTCGGGCACCAGAAACATGGTGGCAGCTTCCGGAATCATGCCATGTAGCAGAGGGACAAAGTGATCCATTCTGCTTTGCTAACACGGCCTGCACAGCCATTCGGGACCTGGAAGTTTCCAATCAGAACAAGAGGATTTATCTAAAAATGACTAAGAACATTTCTACAAAATTGGATGGAAGCATGAAGTGGATTTTTATTGATCAAAATGGGCAATAAAACATGTTTGTAGTAGTAGTTTCTCAGAATGTGGCCAAATTCTCTATGTTGTATGTAAAATTAGGCAAAATTATTTTTATTTTTTTTACTATTATTATTATTGTTGTTTAATGCTTTTATTTGCTGGTCTATGACCATAATAGAAATTTGATTCCTGTTTGGAATTATTTACTCTACCCATCCACCTACCTACCCACACATGTTCAATAAGGTAAGAACTCCAGTTGGAGCAACATAATGGTGGGAGAAACAGTTATCTTGTCAGAATAAATAGCATCCCTAGTAACTTCTGTCCCATTCATTTTATTTCTGAAAACCTTGTAAACTAGGGAAGACCTGTTTTGGTCCAGATCAAAACTGTTCATACTGCTGTATAATATATTCTCCTTTCTCAAATCCTGTGAGGAAAAGGAGCTCTCGGTATCATCACTAGATTATCAGGATTCTGTACAAGAAGTTGTTGCCAGTTGAATAGATATATAACCACTGGAAGTATGCAGTTACCAATTATTACTAAACTGCAGTGTCAAACCATTTTTAAGTCTTTTGAGAAAATACTCTAGTGCATTTGCGTAGACATTTTATCCCTTGGTGTTATTGGGGCTGTGCATGCTTGAAAAATGACTCAGAACAACTACTTTGAACCTCAAGTAGCCACAGTAGAGCCTCTGCTATTTATTACAGGTTTTCCAACAAAATGGAGAGAAAAAAATGATACTGCTTTAAGAGCCACTTTGACTTTAATGAATGGATTCCTGAAAGCAGTAGGAACCTTTATTCAGGCTCCTGCAGAAGCCTGAAATAAGTCAATCTATTTTAATAAGTAGAAGTGAGATATCACATTCATACTCATGGCAGGAGCCAAAACACAACTCCCAAATCGTCTCCAAAGTATGCACAACACTAGTTTGTGTATCTGGATCTAATGAATTATTGTTATAACCCCACCTTTAATTGGTACACATTGAAGAACTATGGCCATAGCAACAGTGTGTTTTGTACACACCTAGAGTCCCATGGGACTGAAGCAATCAATAAATGTAGTCAATTAAAAGAATAAACAGCTTCTAGAAGGACAAAGTCAGTAGAACTTCATTAGTGAATCAAGACATAACAGAGATCAACAAACAGGAAAGATTTGACAGAATTACAACATCAGGGCTCCCCTCCATTATTGTTTACCCTTGTTGAGAACATTTTAGTGTTTCTGACATTAGCTATCTTAATCATTCTTATGCAAACTCTATAGAGTACCATTAGTACACCCATACTGAGGATCAAAATCCTGAAGCTGACAAAGTACAACTTGCCTTATGCCTTATGCCATCTGGTGAGCTAATAGCCAGAAATTTCCACCAGCCATTCACATTGCTGAAGACGTATTTGAACGACGCCTTTTCAGAATCAGGTAACTTGCAACAACACCTCAACAGCATTACCAATAATGGATGGATGCTAATATTTATTGATCTTAAAAAACTATGGGCAAGCGGCCATCCAGTTTGGATCTAGTATGAAACATGATTTTTTTTTCTAAATGATTAAATTAATATTTAAACTATGGGGGCTTCACTCTGATAGGCATTAGGGTGCCCCCTGTAGATGGGCATTTCAAACATGAGGGCAACATCATTTACAGTGCTTGCTCTTTTGGAGCTGGAGGGTGGACAATCCTTCCTCCTGACCATCTCTATTATTAGACAACACTACATTGCAAACACCATGGACTCCTTCTTGCAGAAATGCGTTCTTCATTTCATCAATCACTGTACAGTTAAGTCTGAAGCAGTCAATTGCTTTATGTTTCCAGTGAAATGCCTTAATATTTATCAGGCTGCTGTTGACGGCAAGAGTGCAGTTAGGAGTGAAGTTAGTGGTGTCATTGAAGATTGTCAAGAATGAAGTGTTTCTTCTTTATGTTCTTTTCACTCTTTTCCTTTCAAAATATAATTGCTTTTTTAGGTTATTATTGTTAGACCTATACTAAGCAGTTTGGCCTGCCCTAACAAGATGACCCAATTCAGCCTGAATTTCCAACACAGAAAAGACTTCACCATCCAATCATTAGCTGTTGGAACTTCCACAAGAGTGAGACAAAGCTACTCACTGCTTCACTTCCCTCCTAGAAGCAGGAGTCCGTCACTTCATAAAACAGTTGTGAAGGAGAACCTTGTTAAACTACTTCAAAATGAAGCCCCCCACCCCACCCCTTCAAAGCCATGATATGTTCCTTTTTGGAAATCACAAGCAGTTCCCAAAACAGTGCAGATCAATTAACCATCTCATTTCTCCAGAAGTTGAAGGGCATTAATATTTACACGAAACCAGATTTTTCTCTTATGAGAGTCAACTAAAACAAGCTAATGGGTGATTGTTTTATACAGTATATGCTAAACGCAATGAGCCTATTATATGCAGAAAGATGGAAGAATGCAGAAATATCTAAAATGGAAGAATGGAACAAGAAGATGGTTGCAAAAATGGATATAATTGACTTGTTTGATTAGGGAGGGAGCAACAATTACTTTTATAAAACACTAGAAACCCATTTTGGACTTTTTACTGAAAATGGATAACATGATTTTGGGAAACAAATAATATGCAGTTTGGAAGGGTAGAAATGGTAATTACTATGTTTGTAACTGTTGCAAAGAAAACTGAAAGTAGCTTCTTTAGATTTTCTTTTCTCTTTTTTGTTATCTTTTACTTTTCTTTTATTCTTTCATATTTCTTTCTTGTTTGCTCCTTTTCTTTTTATGTTTCTATTATGTCTATATTAAAAATAGAAATGCATAAGTCTCCAAATTTTGCAACACTCGGCTCTTTTTTATTCATATTATTTTTCTGAAAGATTTCTAGTTTCAGTCTTTAAACGAGCTGGATGTTTTCTAAGATGAATTTACTATCCTTCCAGCCAATTGGGTGATTATTGGAAAGAGGAAAAACAAAATGTTCTTTGGAGATGAGAGTAATCAAAATATAGCATCCGGCGTTCAAATGGAGTCATGGAAATATTGGTTAATAAATAAAAATCTTCCTGACCACAGGCCACACGAGTTTAGGGGCATATGGATTGACAGAAGTATGATGGCATTTCCTCCAAATGTGGAAATGTGTGCTTCAACTTTGATGTGAACATGATTAGCAAGACAAAGATGTTTTGTTTCTTTGGTTCCAGTTTCCATATCAGTAGTTATCACTTGTATTTTTAAAATAAAATATTAGGCTTTCTCTGGTACGTGTACCACATACAAACAGAACTTTCTTCTTGAACCTTCAAACAAACCCAAAAATAAGTGTGCTGAATTCAACTTCAAATTCTGAAAATAAATAATTCTTCTCTCCAGCTTCCTTGCTTGTTTCTTAATCTCCATGTTTACATTATTGCTAGGTTTTCTTTTTAAATCATAGCACATAGACAGCTTAATATTAGCTCCTTTCTTGCACACTCTCACACACACACTGAAAATGGTACTTTGTTACAAAAGAACTACAAATTTATTGGATAGTATTATTGACAAGAATATTATCAATATAATATTAATACATCACATTATTCCTGAAAGCTTTTTAAAAGCCTGCATATGAAAAAAAAATGTAGATACCATAAAATCATTGTTTCTACAGACAGAATCAAGTAGAAATAATGTTAAGTAGTTCAAAATTACCCTTCTTTCCCTTTAAAGTAACTAATATTAAAAAAAACTTTTCCTGAATTATGACTGTGCATATCATCTACATACACACACACATCTGGACATTTTAGCCCTTTCAGTGATTGGCTCAGGTGTGCTAAAGTCTCATTGGGCCCAAAGTCCTCTGGCCCTGTTTGCTAAACTGGTCAGCTCCTAGAGGGGCCTC